GAGTCTGGGGGGGGGGGGTGTTGGTTTTTTTGTTGTTTGTTTTGGTTTGGTTTGGGGGTTTTGTTTTGGTTTGGTTTGGTTTGGTTTGGTTTGGTTTTTTTTACATACAGCTAGAGACAAGCTGACCAAATGCATGAACAAAGGCATTCACATGCTATGCTGACAATCAGTTCCCAGCATAGTCCTGTATATTTACAACAGTAAAGCACTAGATGCCATCACATTCATTTCAAAGATGAAAAAAGAAAGAACAAGAGAAAGCAGGAAGAGCATGGAAATAAAAGTGAACAATGAGTGGAGAAATATGCATTAAAAGTACTCACAAGGCTCCAATTAAAGTCCAAAGGATGTTGTGTGCACACCTAATTTAGAGGTTTGACTGTATGAAGCCAAAGCCTACTGCAGTACTGTTTAGATTCATAAATACAAAACATCTGTCAAACTACTTATGATTTGTTACCTGTGCTTTAGTGCAGTTAAGACACAGAATGAAGCCAGCCAACTGTTTTAAAATTCTATATTGTACCGGAACCAGACCACCAAAAGCTTATCAGTCAAATAGTTAAATGTAATTAGAAAATAACTAACCTGTTCACTTTGGATGACTTCACATATACACGGTTTACAAAACACATGTGCACAATGTGTTATCACAGGAAAGGTGAGAGAATCCAAGCAAACTGCACATTCTTCATCTGATCCAGAGCTCAGAACCAGCTTCATTTTATTTACTAGTTTCTCACGCAATTCTTCAGGAGTATTATTTACTAAATATATACAGAAAGCAACAGTTTATGTTATACCTATCATAAATCAACATGGTTCCACTGATACCAACATTATGACGTTAATTTATAAATCAGACAGAGATCTAGCCCATCATTTAATGAAATCATTTGAATTTGGCAAAAAGCATGAATAAGAATTGTTTCACTATTTAAAAACATTGCTGCAATTCTCTACTTGACTTAGTTTAGTCTGAATAAGGGACCTTGACTAAATTCACACATTCAATGCTAAAGGTGAAAAAACACTGTTTGGGCATATCTACATGACATGTTTACTGTGCAGTAGACCAATTAGCTGTGCAGTAAACACTGTGCATCTACCCATGCGCCCCTATTAGGGGGAAGTAAATTAACTCCACAGCAGAACAGTATTTGTAAATACTAGAGGTGCACCAATGAAGATTTTTTGGGCCAACACCGATGGCCAATTATTAACAAATCATAATTGGACAATATGATCCAATTGCCAATATGTAGCCCGGCAGGTTGGAGAGCAGCATCTGGCTGGTAAGTCTGTGGGGGAAAGGGGCATGGAGGAGAAGTTAGAGGCTCCCAAGAGTGAGGGAGAGAGTGGGAATGGGGATAGGGCAGGGTTAAGCACTGCCAGCCAAGGCAGGGTGTGAGATGGAGCCACAGGCACTTTGTCTGGAAGGCATCGGGGGGAAGGAGCTCAAGCCACTGCGCACACCTCGGGGGAGGCATGGAGATCTTTGCAACCATACTCCCCCCGGAACCCAAAGACTTTGGTTTCCTGAAAACATTTGTAGTGTACACAGGGCAAGGGCTGCGCTCGAGGGCAGGAACTGGCAGGGGGCTACATCAAAATTTTGGGGTGGCTAACTGTCCTCCCCCTCCCCCCCAGAAGTGCCCAGTGCCACCCCTGGCTCCAAGCATGTAGCCCACCTTTGCCCTCACCCTGTGCACAGATCTAGGGGGACATATGATCCCCATTCTTCCCCCAAGGCGTGTGCAGTAGCCGGTGGCACCCCCTACCCCACCCATGCCCCCTGGACAAGCTATTCGTGGCTCCACTCCCACCCTGCCTCATCCCAACTGGGTAGTGATTGCCCCAGCCC